GAGGGTTACGAAAGCTTTGCGGTCATTTTTATGACGGACTCATTGGAAGCAGATTTCTAGGAAAAGTTGGCAAGTAATTCTGAGGACTGATTTAGCACTAATATGCGGTTGTAGAACTAGGTTCTCTGCGTGTTTCAACTTCATGCACTAGCCTTTTTAGGTGATCATTTACCACAACATGACCGAACTGCAGAAAAAAATCTATTTGGACCTAATATCCGAGCATTATAGTAAGTTTGAATCGTTTTCCAATTTCATTTTCAAATCCTCATTTTTTTTCAACGAATTGATGCATTTCTCGGTCAGCAATCCTTCTCTACTTCCAAATAACGCCAAGAACCGATCCCCTTGGGAACAAATGCTTGGTGACAGGTGCTAATCTCATTACAACTTTCTAGCTGCTCAGCCAATTCGACCTAAGGATTGTGGGAATTTCTTATCTGTACTCAAAAACCCAGTGGCTCGCGAGGATATAACTTCGGAACATCTAAATTGCCAGCAGTCAGTGTGTGTCGCTAGCTGGACAGCGTGCAGATCGAGGGGTTTCGTGGTAATAGGCAGGCTGGAGCCTCTCCAGTGAGCTATGCCTTCCAGCTCGTCCTGTTTCCTCTACACCCTATACAGTTTGGCATGATCCCGACGAGAGGCGATCTTGGCCTGATCCTCATGTGCAAGTTTGGCGCGAGCCGTAACGCTCCGAAGTTGACAAAGATAGCTCTAGATGTTAATGAATTGTCCCTAGGGAATGAACTTCTAGCACCCCATTTGGATCCCGATAGTAGTGTAGAGGATGATGGTTAGACTTTGCGACCAGTTCGAGTCCTCCATTTCGATCCACCCCCTCCACACAGATTTTCGTACAGCTCTCTCTCTCTCGAGTTCTCTTCTTCAATGAGGAGCACATAGGGAAGGTCCAGGTTCTGTGTTGAAAGAGGAGGGAGACTCGTGGTGGTCTTCTCTCGAGATCGCAAAGAAACAGATGAGGTTCCTATCCCCCAGAGTTACTCGCCCTTCACAACCTTTAGTCCATGCATTGCTACAAAAGTGAAAATCGATTTGTTGATTCTCCTTTAAAAACGTTTTCAAGAGATCTTAATGAGTGTCCGTTCGGGGGCCTAATAGAATGCATGTATCTTCAAAATCAAGAAAGAGGCTACTACTTTCCACCGGCTATTCTGTGAGTGATACCCCAGCCCTCCTTGCTTCATTTTGTAAGCAAGAGTAAATTAATCCTTTTTCTGCGCTCTTGCCACTCTGATATAATCGGCTTGAATCTTCTAAGTCTTGAAATCTGCCCGCCTCTGCTTCAATTCCGAAAGTGGACAGGTGCAGATTACTCAAGTTGGCGAATCTATTAGACAATTACGTTACATGTTGTTAAAGATATACTGCCGCAAGTCCAGCGACAACGAGTGTTTGAAACGATCCTGTGTGGAACCGTTCAGCGTTTTTGATTAAAGGCTTAGTTCACGATAATTTTGAGGTACCCCTTTTTAGTCGAAAAGCGGAGGCATAGGTTGGGAATAGTTTATTGGAAGTGAAGAAGACGAGAAAATCGCCGATTTTGACAAAATACGACTCATCAAAAATAGGGAGAATAGAGGTTGGACGAGATTGCCATGACGGAAATAACATGGAAGAGATTTTGGACGAAATTTCAGTTGTTCCTATTGCGCGAAGAGCTGCCTACATACATCCAGCCAGAACTGTACAGAACTGCCTTTCACTGCCGCTATGGGTAATGTCAAGTTGTTTGAACTTCCTACAAGGGTTCCTTTGTGATCTGTGCAGCCTCGACAATGCCGGGAAACTCGTCCGAGGATACACACGAGACAATCTTTGAGCCTTTATAACGCCCCAACTAAGCCATTTTCCGACGTGATAGCGCCAGATATGGTATAAGAGGGGGCCTCAGATTCATCTTATGGGGAAATCTTTATTTATTTATTTCATACGCTATATAAGACAGCGTGAGAAAATAGAAAAATAAATCCCAGAAATCATTTTTATCGCGAACTGTGCCTTTAAAATTCTCCTGATAATGTCAACGTCCTCCCTTCTGTTTCCCTTCGTTTTTCCTCTTTTCATGATTCAGATGTAGATATAAAAGATACTGCACAAGGTTTTTCTTGTTTCATCCAAAGATTTTCAGCTGATTTGCTTCAATTAGCCAACTACAAACATCAATCAACAATTCTCAATTTGCTTGTTCAACTAAGAAAAAGCGTCGCTCACCCATATCTTTTCCGAGGTCTGCTTCCTTTCATTTTCTCAAGTTTCTGTTCCAGGAACTCTTCATCTGGCGAAAGACATCAGAATTTTTTTCAGGTATTGAACCAGAACCGTTTAGGGAAGGCGAGCATTTAGTTGCAGCCAGTGGAAAACTGCAGGTAAATGTTCTACTGCATTTTTTAAACACGTAAACATGATTAACTATACGTCTTTCAAAGCAGTCCTGTCATTATCAGCTCTTCCTTTGAACCTTCCTAATTATTCGTGCAATATGCACGATTACTGACAACTCAAAGTAGTTGTAAAGAAGCGAAACAACTTTTTAGGTCTTGGATATTCTACTGCGTTATCTAAAGAAACACAAACATCGTTGTTTGATTTTCAGTCAATTTGTTATTTTCTTGGATATTGTGGATGATTTTATGAATTTGAGAGGTGAGTTGTCCATATTTAAGAAGTAAAGCTCTCAAATAAATATGTTTTAGGCTATAAATTTGAGCGCATTGATGGCCAAATCCAAGCTGATGATCGCTACGCAGCGATCAATAAATTTCAAAATGGGGGGAAAAATAGAACCAAGAATAATGGGCACAGTAATGATGACGATGGTAACTTTTTCCCCATTTACCGCAATTCTTTCCCATTCACCGGTTTTGAAGACGGCTAAGTGAGTAAGTCCGTTTAGATCCATGGTGTTTTCTTATGTCTACGAAAACTGGTGGAGTTGGTTTAAATCTCACAAGAGCAGACACAGTGATATTTTTGGATGCAGACTGGAATCCACAAAATGACATACAAGCAATGGCTCGTTGTCATCGGATAGGGCAGGACAAGTGAGTTCTTTTTCCATTAATGAAATCAATAATATAAGACGATTGTTTCAAATGTTCGAAATGTTTTCGACAAAAATCATTTCTGATTGATGATATCGGTTTGTTTGTAGCAATGAAATTCATTTATGTAATTTTGGAAAGTTACAAGACGAGTTACAATATGATTATTGGTAATGTTCCATATTTACTACGTTTAGGCCAGTACGTGTAATACAGCTGATTGGTCGGTACACGGTTGAGCAACATATGAATGCCCGTATTCGAAATAAACTCAAGTTCACTGATAAAGTTATGGGTAACGAAGGTAGGCCCTTTTCTGTAGATGATACGTCAGTGATTTGTTTTTATATGGTTACTCACTTATAAATACTTGCAGAAAAGAAGCTATCTGCTTATCATGTGATGGCGACAGTCAAGCGGAATTTGGGTGCGCTAAAGGAGCAGGACAGCGAGAATATAGAAATGGTGGGGAAGTCGTCTTTCGTCGTCTTACACTTTCACATTTGTCGTCTGTGCACGCCTGCAAGATTCTGCCTTCTGGATACTAAATATATGATTAGCCTTATGTTCACTTTGCAGACAGATCAGGATCTGGAGAGCATCATCGGAGAAACCAATGCCAACGGTGAATGGCTCCCATTGAAAGGAGAGAAAGAGAACGAGGTTCGAAACAGTTGTAGATCTTTTTATTATCAACTTGCCTGCAAAAGCAGAGGATTAAAAATGTCTCAAGAAAGCAGGTGATTTAGATTCCGATAGCAGCACGAATAAATCCAGACGAGGTGGACACACGGGACACTGACTTCAATGACTATCGAGTGTTCGAAGGTCGTGATTACCGTATTTCCGCCAAGGATGAGGCTGAATCTGAGAAACTACGTTTATTGAGCTTGGCTGGTACTGCACGCACTAAACAGAGCTGGCGTTCTACATTGAAAGGTAGTCCTTGCCGGAATCTTCTACCTATTTTACTACCAGTTTCATTGTCGTTCCAGAGCTATCTGATTACGAAGAGGAAGACGATATGGAAACTCCAGAAGAAATAAAAGTAATATCTCACTTGGTTTTTGAATTCACTTCGACCAGTTTCGTTATTCTTCTATCTCAGGAAACAAAAAAGGATCGTGCTTCATCTACTAGTCCTGTGAAAGTGGAGAACAATGAAAACGGTTCAGTGGATGGTGAGTCATGCCTTTCGATACCTCAATCCTTCTCCTTCTACCAACAGTACGACGAGATCCTTTGGATGATCAGTGTGGCTCCTTCCATTCACTTTTTTCCGATGAAAGTCCTTGAAATGCGCCTGGAGTTCCGAACATTGGGATATCAGAATTTTATGAGAAATGGCTGTGATGTGCATAGAAGCTGCTTCATGCTTATGAATCCCGGGCATTCAGACTGTGCTTCAACTGGTGCAAGCGTCTGGCGTAGTAAACATGTGACATATAGTTCAAAGGGCAAGGATGGCTCTGCAAGTTACCTTCTAGGATGAAACTCGAAATCTATCAAAGCCACTAACCTCGCAAGGTGAATGGGGCGTTGTACGAGATCGCCGTCTGTAACCATCTGGGTGTCTCCCACACTATTCGTCGCCTCCTAACGCTTCATTGTGAATAGTGCAAACTCAGCAAGGCCGGCATGGGGGCCACAGATTCCTCCTAGGGGCGGAGGGGGGGGGGGACGATCTCAGCAACCATTTATCGTGAACTATGCCTTCGCCTTAATTGTTAGATCCTTGATGCATTCAACTGCCTTCCAGTTCGATTATGAGGTGAACGTTGAGCGAATGCGAATTCACGGTAGATGATTCAATTCTTATACAGTCCCACTTCGTAGACTATCCTCTTAAAGACCATCATTAATGACAACTTATGTGATTTGACTCACATTGTGTCTGACTTTGAAGACCATCATTTTGTGAAATATTGCTGCGCAATTAATATCATTCATCATTATCCATTTCAGAGGTAGAATCTGACAAAAAGTTCACACCGAAGTTGGGATCGAAACGGGAAGATGAAAATTCGAAGAATCCGAAGGTGGAAAAATCGAACCGGAAAAGAGAACTCGTCATTGATGAAAACGAAGGCACTCAAAAGGCAGCTGCCAAGAGGAAGAGAAGCAATGGAGCGGTTCTGTTGCGATGCAACTGAGTGCTTTTTCATGTAAAATCAACCAGGCTTTGAAAGCTGATATACTGTCTGCGGTGTTGTTTGACTGTGGCATCTTCGATGAGGTGAGAAGCTTAGTGTCATATAATTAATTAATTAAAATAGGCATGCAATTTCTACCACGCTCGGGATGCCCGGTCTGGGACGCGTGCGGTCGCGGCGCGTGCCAACACGTTCACCGAGTTGCAATCCTTTTGCGAACTAGACCCTAATTTAAGGGTGCTAAAAGAGATGGCGCAAAGAATCACCCGTGCTATAGCTATAATACCGTCAGCGATCTTACAACTGATGACCCTCGGTCGATACAATACGCTAAGCGCGCTGCGTAGGACCATTTCTTTGATCCAGGCGTTCTTCGACTCCCACCTTAAGAAACTAGTAAAGAACAGGCTATGGCTATTGTGTCTTTCATGAAATTCCACCTGATTTTGAATTTTTTCGATCATTCTGTACAGGTAACGTAATAAGCATCATCAGCACTTCTGGTAATTAGGTGGCAATTGTATTACGGTACCGCTTTTCAAAAAGGTTCAAGCGCCAGTGTGCTTATTGGTGCTTCTGTGAATGTTCATTTGATTTCGGATTTACTTGTTGCTAATACTGTGAATTCTCATGACTCTACTCATGAGTTTGTTGCTTGTTTATTTAACGTATTTGTATATNTATATGTGCATGTTTATTTTTCCTTGGAATCTTGTTCTTGCTGTATTTTATGGAAGGCTGCGTTGTTCTGACTACGACATCGCAGTTATAACAACTGGCAAGGGATGGTGATAGAGTTGAGTATACCAGAGGAGTCGTTAAAGGAGGGAAATATTTGAGGAAGGGATGGAGTTGCTCTTAAATTACTTATGGGTTACCGGTCCAGTGGTCATCCAACCAGTTTCCTACCGTTCCCATGGCCGAACACACGAGATCTATCGCGACGGTCTCTCACTACTGCCGTCAGCATTCAATACTTGATGGGTCCAAATTACGGTAAGCTAAGCTGTCGGGTATTCAATTTCATACAATACCACCTTGCTGTAGTGTAATGAAGTGGTAACTGAAAGGAAACCAGCGACCTCAGACCCAGCCTTTCCATTTACCTTTTTCGTTCTCTCTCCTAAATATCTGTAAAATTGTTCTTTTATGTGAATCAAAGGTTGTATTGCGCGATTTTAAGATTGGTAACCATTTTTCATAAACATTTAAAACGCGCTCTAAGTGTGTAATGTGCTAGGTTTTTGAAAGTTTCGTTGTAAGTTAAATAAATGAATTATTAAATTTGTGTAATATCTGAATAAGAGAGTCGAACGCTTTTTGAGCGGTGAGCGTACCTGCTTGAAGTATCAACACGATTGTTAACAGTTGCCTAGTCTCCTGAGTGGATCCTCCCTCCCCTGAGGATGTCGGTAAGCGATGAGAACCATCTATCGATAGATGGAGCCTAGTTTAGATCGCAAAAGAAATGTTTTCGTAGGGGAGGAGGGATGGATGCGCGGTTTTTGAGACGTGAATTTTCCGTATTGCCAATCATTGCTTTGTATTGAGATTTTTATTCGAGATGACTTCAGTCCTCTTCGATTAATCTATAGCGAAGCCACACTAACCTATCAAATCAGGCGCTGTTAAACACCTTACTGATGAGAGCATACAGGCAGGTGAAAATGAGAGCAAATTGACAGCCCCTCCCCGTTCTCAACCACAAAGGCTCATTAGCGGAGTGGGCCTTTGAAATTGGTGACCTCGAAAGTAGTCTTGACAGGCTTGTTGTTCCCCTTGTACGTCTGGGAACCTAAAAATCACCCCTTGTGGACCAGTACCGGATTACTAATTTTCTAGATGTCGTGGGTAGGAACACAAATAGCTTCAGTTTCCTGTACCTTTCTATCACTCAGGTGGTCAAACAAGTGCAGTACTACAGGAAGCAGGTGTGTACACCCTGCCCGTATACCATCCCTGAAAACAAGTGTGTTGAATTTCAAAAAATGGTCTTTGTTGAGAACCAGTTCCGACAGACTCCGCTCCCATGAGGTTCAAAGATTAGCCTATACCTATGCCGCGCGGACTGTCGCAGGACATGCGCGGAAATCAAAGATTTTCGGGGGTGTTCACTTCCCGTGTTCTTGATATAAGTACCTTTAACCTTCCACTTTAGATGACCCAGCACGATGTGAGGTCGTTTCTGCGGAGTTACCGTTATTGGAGGCGTGCAACGTCGGACCTTTCGTCACACACCCTCCCCCTCCCCCTTTGATTGTCATCTCATCGGCTGTTTTCGTTCGTTTTCTGGGTGAGGACCAGCTGTGTTTCGCAACACACGCGTTGAAGAAAACGGCCGAATAACAAACATGGTGGACCTTGAACTCTTCCCTCGGATGTTGCGTGAAGACAAAGCGTAGGTCTCGTCTTAGAGCATCGGAGATCAAAGTGAGGTTTACCAAAGCAGTATATGTGGGTGGTGTAGTTGGCAGTTACTGGTAAGCATACAACGAAAAGTGAAAGCCCATAAATAGAAAGCTTTACAATAACTGATGACAACAACCCGTAAATAAGTCCGCAATTTTTCGTCAATTGAGGTAAAAGTGAACGGCGCGAAAATTCACGTCACACAAAGGATTTTCCCTGTTTTGACATGTTTTCGGAAAGATGTTGAAATTTTTTGTCCTTATGGAATGGCTGTGTTTTTGTGTCTGGCCCCCTGTTTTCCGATCGTGATCATAGACCATTCAGTTCCGTTACGAGTGTCGTGATGAGCTCCTTACTTTTTTAGTTCTCTGAGGCCAACCGTAATGTAGACTTGTAGGGTAGATGCGTTTTTACGCGTATTTTAGCCTTAAAACGCGTTAGTCTGCTCAAAAACGCTCGAAAACACCTCAAAATGGTCATGACTATTCTGAAATAAGTACTTGGTTCGAATTTTTGTTTCACTTCTTAGACCTTGTAGCGTGAGGAGGTGAAAGTGTAGTTGGGGCCACCAGTCTTTTACGGGAGACGGGCGTTAGGAACGATTTTGGGTAGGTGATTTGCCGCACGCGGCTGTCGCGGACCACTCATTCGCCGTTATTACAGCTCTAGCGTTCTTCATACAGCTCAATCGATATGCGATCATTATTTTATGCATAATTCTTCTATTAGTACTTCTGTTCTTGTATTTCTTACCTACTGCTGCATCCTGCTACATTACTTCGCGCGCGATGCCCCTCTCACCGCAACGCGACCATTTCGTGCCTAACGCACCACACCCGTCTTTTACACATTGAGCGCTAGAGCGCAGCAGGAGGTGTAGTCGACTTCCCGAGCTCATAGTTATGGTTAAGAACGGGTTGTAGCCGAGAAAATACAGCCTTTGATTCTTCGATACGCCGTGAAAGGGAAGGAGCACCGGGATGGGTGAAAAAACCAAGTGATCAATAATTACATAGTTCCAGCTTTTTGCACCATGCAATCATCTCACCCGTCCCGGTGCCCTCCCGTCCTAAGGTTTAGCTAACAACTATTGGCTGTTTTCCGAGCCTGCTGGCCGGAGGCTGCGCTTACACTTGTTGACAAACAGAATGTTGATCGATACCGCAGGCCGAAAGACCAAATTCTCGGCTTTGATAGCCTGTAAGCGGCCGCTTTCAATGCCAAGAAATTAGTCATTCGACCTGCCTTGTCAGTCAACATTCACTTTGCCAACAGAAGGATGGAGCTGTCTATGGCCGGCGCGCGCGGGGCTGGCCGGCGAATTCTGAAAGCAGCCTGTTCTCCTTTGGCGAAGAACCGTCTTAATGCACAAGTAGGGTTGCCTACCGCTCTTTCTCTCTACACTTCAGCGTTTATGTTGGATATGACAACTGCGCAGAACTGAGTGGCGTGGTCTGGCTCCAAATCGGTAGTTTTATTGGACTTACGGAATCGAGTTAATCACCAATTTCGCTTGATCTATTCGCTCTCCACCTTAGCTCTACTTTATTCTGCATGATTTTCCGTATTTCTTTAGAGTTCAACGATTCTACGCACAAGAAAGCCGTAAGATATAACTTCATCTCAGTATGGCGGATATTAATCCCTTGGCAGAAGAGTGGGAAAAGCAAGGTATAAGAAACGAATTGTGGTGTTTCTTAGTTTTCCAAATTAAACAGTCGTTTGCAGGTCTGACCCTCCGTGATTACCAGAAAGAGGGTGTAAGTACGATGGACTCCTGGTATCGCGCTGGTCATGGCGGCATTAATGGCGATGAAATGGGTCTGGGAAAGACATGCCAGGTAAATTTCCACATTTTTGATTCATGATATCTCTCAGTTTTGTGAGGTAATTCAGAGTTCCAGCTCTGAATTCTGGTATATTAGTTTCTTCTCATGCTGAGAAGTCTCTTATAACATTTTGAAATTCTCGCTTATGTTTCAGTGAAGTAGATCGCAAAACTAAGTAAATTTTAGTCCCGAGCAGGCTAAGAGGTTACTTTGGTCATAGGGGATACGAGAAGTCGAGAGAGAGAGATTGAATTCTTAGTTAAAACCCTACCAGCATTCATTCAATGGTGGGATTCTGGGGCAGAAAGCAGGGCATTATCCTGAAATCTATCGCAATTTTTGCGTCATTTATTTTTATCCATTTGGAACAGATATTGAAAGCCGGACTACACTCACGGTATCCGGATCGAATAGCGTTTTCTCAACTAAATGGCTTTCAGGCTATTGTTCAAATGGTCCGACTCAACCAAGAAGGGAAAGGCCCATTTCTTGTTGTGTGTCCGCTCTCGGTGTGCGATCATTGGGTATCAGAAGTCAATAGGTAATTTTTGAATTGTATTGCGCCTTATGTTGGCTACTGTTCGTTCTCATACAGTGTGCTTTAGGTTCTCATGTGGAACGTTGAAACCTATTGGTTATTATGGATATGAGGCGGATAGGACGAATGTGTTGAAGAAATTGAAGAAGCTTCAACGAGACAATGTGTTTATCACACCGTATCATGTAAGTTTTATTTCACTTTGTTACCTTTTCGTTTCCATTTCGCGGTCGAGGTAAAGATATACAGAGGTGGGCATTTTCAGATTTTGCGCGGCGATTCCACGGTAATCTTCGATCTTCAAGAGAAATCTAAACTGAAATTCGAAGTCGTCATTGTAGATGAAGCTCAAGCGATCAAGAACTCGGAATGCCAGCTCGCTGAAAGCTTAAAGCCTGTGGGTTCACATATATTCAGCCTATTTTTTTTTAGATTAATGCTTCCTCAATGGAAGACTTCTCGAGCAGCGGAGCATTCTCGAAACCAATGAAGAGTTGGATGTGGTGAGGTGCCTACTCACCAAAATACAGAGCACTCTAGCTCTCATTACACAATCTTCCTCATAAGGTTCGAGAGTGGCACAGCAGGGCCCATACATTGCAAAACAGATTGGGGAGCAGTGAATAGTTGCTCACACAAGTAATTTTAAGTCAAGACAGGTTTAATCGTCCCATGAATGTGTGACACAGTAACACGAGCAAACTCTGAAGCGCCTCCAAACACTCGTCACATATACGACGCGAAGCAAAGGTACCTGTGAAGCCCACGGAGGGTGGGGGTGGGGTACTAGCGGGT